AGAGAGAGAGAGAGAAAGAGAGAGAGAGAGAGAGAGAGAGCATGTGTGTGTGTGTATTTGAATAAATGATGGTGCCGTATTAACGTAAATCTCTGTTAAAATGTGCTTTATGAAACAAAGTCCATTCATTTGTAGTAGTTCACAGCGCAGCGGTGCCACCTCCAATATGGCGGACGCACCGCTCGTCACAGCAGCGGACCGACAGAGTCAACGAGGCGTCTACGTTTTCATTTGTATGGGCTGATGTGGAACCAGTTTGCTGAGGACCAATCACAGCCCAGCTTTTTTGACAGGGAAGTTTCCCGCGCGCGACAGCCAGAACTCTCATGCGCGTTCGCGCGTGGGTTGTGTTCAAGATTTAAAGTGTTGAAATGATGATCTATAACAAAATGAGAGACAGGGATCAAGACTAAAGATGCCTATTTGAAATTTAAACCAACAACAACAAGCTTGAAAACATGTAACAGATATAATAAATTAATTGAAATATATTAAAATGTTCTCATTCATTAACATGCAGTAGATGCTAATTAGTTTAACACTGATTAGATATAAAAAATCACAGACAGAATAAAAATTGTATTGAATGTATAACAACAAAAACACTGCAGAGTTGTCTGCATGCATCTCCACACTTTATATATAAAAAGTGAACTTCCTCTTTAAAGTTTCAGATAATGTAATTATATCATTACGTCTTTATTGTTACAGTATGTAACATGATGGTATGAACTAATTTAATGTTAAAACACACGTTCTCTATCATAACAGCTTCATTTTGTATGTATATTCTAGTAAGTAATATTTAACTTAAGTATAATATTAGGATTATTATATTATCAAATATTCTATTAAATTAAGTTAATGTCTATTTCAAGTATAAATGGAAATTTGGAAATATGGTTTAATCTAATAAAATTGAACAAACATTTTAAACAATCATCTTGTTTAACGTTCATATTTTTTGCTAGTCTAAAATATTCGCTTTAATTGTAGGAGCTCATTCCGTATTCTGTGTAGCAGTACCGAACACTGCCGATCTTAAACGCCCATCACGCCAGCGACGTCGTGACGTCGGGGGCGTGGTTAGCTAGCTTAGTGGGCAGCACCAGCACGCTCTACCTTTGGCAGGACTTTATCTAGCAGCCTCTTGTGCGCTTGTGCCATTCAAACAGAGCAGCTAGCTACCGCGCCGGGGACTTCACAAATACCTTACCTCCAAGACTAGTCAGTTTTAGCTTTTATTAATGTTGAGCAGCTGTCAAAAGGGCGCAACAAAGATGTCCAAAGACACGGAAGGAAAGAGCGAGAAAATTATGGATATGGACAGCAAGGTGTTGTGGTACCCGGACTCTAAGAGGAACACAAAGATGGACAAATTCAGGATACAGGTCAACTCGGACTACGGGCTTAATCTGGGTGAGTGGAGAGATGGGAAAGGAGGGAGGGAGACAAAGAACCAGACTTGGAGAAGGGAGGGGGTATTGGAGAGAATTAAAGTCGGATTTCATTGAGCCTAGGAAGCTGCAACTGAGCTGGTTAGAAAGCAGAAAGGTAGTTTATACCTGCACCGCAGCCACGCTAACAATTAACTGCTAAATTAAAAGTATTTTAAGCCAGGGGAGTGAATCCACACTGAATCGCTCTGCTTTCCTTACTGATAACAATACTGAAGTCCCTTAAGATCTTGCCGCTCCCCTTTCAGTAGTAMTTGGCTGTTTACAACAGTCCAGCTTGGCCTGATTGCTGCATGGCTGATTCCCGAACCGCTCAGCCTGCAGAGCTGAAAGAGACTGAGACCTGTTCAATTGTTTGGTGCAAACTGACACCGATCTGTGGAATGCAGAAAAACGTGCAGAACGCAGAAAAGCCGGATAGATGTTAGCAGAACAACATGATGGGTAAATGACATTTGGCCTAGTTAAATGGCTGCAGTTATGTACATCACTTGACCAGTGATGTTGATCTAAATTCGTTTAAATTTATCACAACCCAATTAACTTTTAAGGATAATGGATTTGTTTTAAGTCAAAAATACTTCCATATTTTAATTATTTTTATTTGGAAAACCTTGGAAACTATTGTAATGGTTCCCAAGCTGGGTTTGGGGACCCCCCCCCCCCTCCACCCCACTCTGGGCCTTCACCATGTGTGTTACATTAGACAAGCTTCAGATATCAAGTTGAAAACACTCCTGTCTGTCTGGCATATTTTCCACCATAAATATAACAAATAATGAAAACAGTAGTGACGTGCTATATTGTAAAAACTTGAGATAGTTTAATATTACATTGGTGCTACCAGTTGTGTTCATCTTATATTGTCTTCATCTCTAGTATTTAAACCAGATGTGTCCATCGAGTCCAGTGAGATTCCATGAGACAGACCAAAAAAAATTATATTGATGTATTGTGCAACCCTAAAATGTGTAGTCTTAAATAGGGCTGTTACAAACGATTATTTTTATAATCAATTAATCACCGATTATTTTCTTCGATCAGTCGACTAATCGGATCATACATTAATTGAATATAAAACATAGAGCTTATCGTGCCAGAATGCAGCTGCTATTATATAATCATCGTTAGATTTTAGCTATATGTTAACTAAAAATAATTGCTGTGAAGGCAAGTTCTGCTCTGCAGATATTACACAGGTTTCTCTTTCATTTTCTTTAAATGATCCCACACATTTGAGCTCCATTGTTGGGTAGCCATGATATCAGAGCCTGTCAGTATTTTGACTGTGTCCAAAACGACAGGCCGGATCCTCCGGAGGACCCAGACTCCCCAGTCGCGGCGGGCTGGGTCCTTGGTAGACCAGGAAGACCGGAAAAAAAGAGGCTGTGAATTTGGACGGTCTAGCCTCCCCTCCTTACCCCAGCGTACGTCATGTCACCTAGCAACTGTGACGATGCTAAACAAGCAAACTTAAATCAAAACTAGAAAAATATCAATATATTAGCATTATTAA